ATATGTTCATTTTTCTCTGCTATCTTTTAGAAATCTGATAGATGTAGACAGAAATTTCTAATTTCCATTAGGAACTATTGATATCCTGGTAGGCTCCTGATCTAAAAATAGTCAAAAGCTGTTCAGAATGCTTCAAAGATTTTGTTACAAATCCTGTTAGAATCTTTGACATTGAATGGCTACAAGTTTCTTTCAGAATTTACGATTTCCTGAACCAATTGTTAGTTTTAAACTTAGTAATAAATTGCTCAGAATCTAGATTGAGTCTTGTTATAAACTCTATCATGATCTTAAAATACCATGGCTACACACTCTCTTTAGGATTTGGGCGTTGCCATAGAAAATAACAGTGAATCTTTGCAGGATCATTATAGAATCTTTCAAAGATCTGGTGCACAAATACAAAAGACTTTCGTTAGACTTACGGCAACATAAACAGAATAAGAGAGAAAACTTCTAGATATCATAAAAAGAAAGTGAAATGTAACAAAACTTATACAACCGTGTTCTAATGGTTTTTTTTTTCGCTCGTTATTCTGTGACACTGGAGACATGCACAGATAAAAAAGAGTGAAACACTCAAGTGAAACGAAACAGGAAAATAACTCACATGACAACAAAACCCGAAAACAAATACAAGCATCCAGAACGAAATATCAGCATACTGTGTAAATTCAAGTCATTTTGTTTTTTTGTTGATAGAACGTTACGCACAACATTGATAAAAAGAAATCACGGACAACAGTAAATGCCGTCACGGCATCTGGACATATTAGCATAAGGCTACGACAGCGTCCATTTGCTCGTATGGTTCAGAACTACTTACTGGTATGATTTGAGGCCAACATTAATGGCACGAATAACGATGATTATATCAATATCATCAACAAATTAAAAGAAATGGTCAACAAGTTTTATCCATTTGCTGATGTATATGAGCGCATCGATTTCATAACCGATATTCAAGAAGAGAAAGTATTTATTATTTTGTCTGCTTCCTTGGAGCAAATAACTATTTCTATCATACATGACATTCCACAAATCAATACTATTTGTATTTCGAGTGAGAACTATCCTAAATATGAAGGTTCGACTAAACAATGGCCAAAGACTAATAGTGCATTTACAAATATTGCCTCAGTCTGTAAAACACTTCAACGAGCTGCATACAAATGTGATCAAAATTTGGTTGAGATTAGTTTTATCCCCACCAATAGTGGAAGCTACAGACAAAATCTGGATTAGTTTGATCCATCATTCATGTACACACAAATATTACAAGAAATCATATTAACCGTTGATTTTCAACAAAAACATTTAAATGATTTTATTTCATACTGTCGTCAACTTTTCGAGAGTAATACTGAGACACTGAAAACCATTGACAAACTCGAACGGCATTACCATACGTATCTCCTGATATCATGGTATACGTGCGACCTTTTTCTATATTCAATGCTCAATTGATCATTACAGCTGATGAAATTAAATCTCATTATTATTATGGTTTCTTTTACTCGAGTTCTCTACAACCATGTCACTGAGTTTCATGCTAAACAGTTCTCTAGATATTCGTCTACGGCTTTCTTTATCCTCTATCGTGGTCAAGGACTGTCGAAGATTGACTTTGATCGATTGGCCACAACTAAAGGTGGACTTTTATCAGTTAATAATTTTTGTCGACAAAGCCTTGATAGAAATGTATCTCTTGTCTTTGCTGAAAGTAATGAAAGCAATCCCGATTGAATACGTGCTCTCTTTAAAATATCTATCAATTTATCAATATCGACAATTGTTTTCGCAAACGTCTATGACGTCGGTTATATCAAAGAAGGCGACATTCTCTTCCCCATGCATTCCATTATTTGTAGTGGCACAATAAAACAAATTAATGGAAACCACTGTCTTTCGCAAGTCAATCTAACATTGACTAGGGACAACGATTCAGAGTTCCATGTACTAACTGAACAAATACGCAAACGTACCTATTGTGACGCGAATAGATCGAATCGTTTGGGTATGTTTCTCATTACACTTGAAACGTCCGACAAATTCCAAAAGATCTATAATATGCTGCTTGATCAAGAAATGGATGATTGAGAAAGATTAACAATTTATCATGCGCTTGGTGTGATCAAGGAGGGTCACGATGAACATAAAGAGTGTTTACTAAGTTTTGATCCCCTTAATCAATAAATTTATTGAATAAGCGGGTCAATACTTAGTGAGCACCCTTTATAGATCCCATTGTCTATTATCAGCAATTCACGAAAATCAAACATGAGATTTTCTCACCAACGGATATCAAGTTCGCTGCTTCTTACACCAGCATTGGCGTGATGTATGAACAGATAAGTGACTATTCAAAGGCACTTTGGTCTCATTGAAAAGCATTGGAAATCATTTAACAAACTCTTCCTTCAAATCATCCTGATTTGACTTACTTCTACAAACAATATGGGTGACTCTTCGAATGCTGTTTCCTTTTATGAATATACTGTACAAATAGAACAGTGTTCACTGACTGAAAATTATCCTAATCTTCTAGATTTGTAAAAGAACTTTGAATGTGTAAAAAAGAGCATTTTTGTTTTATTTTTATTTGAAAAGATACCTGCACGCGTATACAAAGGTTGTCTTATTGAGAACACAATGGTATCATGTCCACGAGTAAAGTAAGCAATACATATAAAAATGATAGTCTTCACGGTATAGTTTTTTGTTTTGATAAGGAGAGCTTCTTTGCGTTGAACATAGAGCCAATCGACAGACTGGCTGATTGAAAAGCGAAAGGTGACAAGAAAAAACAAGAGTGTTCAACAATTGAATGATTTATTTCTATCTATTATTGAATTATTGTTACATTTGAAAGAGAAAGAGTAATTCAAGTATTCATAGAATTAACTTATTCAATCGATGAGAGAGAAGATTAATGGTTGAAACCATTGAAAAAGATGACCTACTTTAGAATTGAAGATGATTTTTCGTCTTTTTGGAAGAAAAATTGGTAGCTAATTGACTTGTTTATTCATATATGAACAAATATGCCTATCAATTAATTATTTAACGTAAGAGAAAAGTAAAATAAAATAAAATAAAATAATTAAAGAATGAAAAAGAAAAACGTTACTGCAGTGATATTATTGATATTAAATGAAGTATGAATGAACGCAGCATGTGCCTATGATCATTTTAAAGGATTTTAATTTCGCTGTTGTGCGTCGTTTCTTGGAATAATATTCGTTTGAGAAGTTAATTAACATAAGTTCAAATTCAAAAAATTCATATATTATCCACTCATTCAACGATGAATATCGTTGAGAAAAGTGTAAAAGAATAAGAATATTGATTCGTTTTCTTTTCTATGATAAAAATCTTAGAACTGCAAAGTTGTATTTCTATTATTTTCTTTTGTCTTTGAAATTTCTTTGTGAATGGAAGTAACACTTCACGTTTGTTTTTCGTTTCATTGTACTACCTTTGGAAAAGTTCAAAAATCACTTTTTATTTTTGTATAAGAATTCCAATGTTCTTTATAAACAATATTTCTACTAAATTATCTAAAACAAGTGAACAAATGAAAATTCAATACAAAAGAAAACAAATTTATGCCTATGAAACGAGCAAAAGTTTATGAGTATTATCTAATCAAAAATAATTTGGTCAATTTCTAACTTTCTGCCTGAAAAAAATCTTGTTTTTCTAAAAATTTCTGACAGTTTCTTGGATTAAATTTCGTTTTAAATCAGTTTTTGATAGCTAGCAATAGAAACTTCTCGAATACATCTCTCAGATGCCATCTATAATTCATACATTTCTCAAGTCAAGTATTCAGAAAAATATGAGATATTGAGGTTTCTTGACGAAATTGTTGCCGTTAAAAATGTTCCAGTCACACTTGCCACTATTCTACAATATTCCTGTTCACTTAAAAGCTTTTGAACTGGTGAAAAATTTCATATCTTCGATCTCATTCTTATTAAGATTATTTTTCTCATTTTCCTCTGATGAACTCCTATATCTTCTAAGATATTTTGGATCTTTATTTTTTAATGTATCTTATAGTAATATTAATTTGCCATCGGTATTTAGTTCAACCAGTACAATAATCGTCTACAAAAAGCCAAAAAGCTCAATAAGAAAAATCAAAACAATCTTTTGTACAAGTACACAACATTTTCTTGTAGGACCCATAGTTTGTATTGCATGAAGCGATAACTATATGTTACGCAACTTTCATGCGTTCCTTAGAAAACCAAAAAACAAATGCTTAGCTTTTATTCTTCATGTTTATGCATAGGTTTTATCAGATTGGTATGTAATTGTTTGAAAAATTTTCCTTATCAAAAAAGACAATTTTTGTTTGTTCAATAGATGATCAATTTTACTTGGTGAACACTAAAACATTTTCACTTGGCATAAGTTGTGTTATTCTCTTCAATCATGTGTACAAAATAGTTCTACTAGATTTACCAAGTTCAATGTAACTTGATTTCAAAAAAGAAATCATATCGAAACAGAAGAAATACGACCTCAATTTCAAAATACTTAAGTAAGTTATATTTGTTAATTGGCGATTCATTCATATATGACTCGTTGCCTTTGTTTTGTTTTGTTTCGTACCTTTACTTCAAGGCATTAGTCATCGTAACAGATTGTGAATGTCTGAGTTTGTTCAGAGTACAATTTTGACATTTTAATCATACATTCTACACTAAAAAGCAATTATCATTTGCTTTATTTCATAATCATCCTTGCAACATGTAAAAATCTGATGGATTACTCGATAAAACTATACTTTCACTTTAACATTAGAGAACAGATCAGATCGATATTTAAATAGTACTTTATAAGAGAAACAACAAAAACATTTAGTTTTTCTTTTATTGAAATTAAGAATAAATGCTTGAAAAATCATCAAATAGAACTGATTCGCATAAAAAAATCTTTGAAATAAAAATCAATCAATCAAATCACTGACTATGAGCAAATGAAACAAATTATAAAATTGCATCAAGTGGTTGATCCAAATAATCAACAGCTGTTTCACCACATAATACACATTGTGAAGCAACTAGATCATCAAGTTCTTGTTGTACACTTTCCATATCACGTGATGGTGGTGCTATTCCACTAGCGATTATTGATTGTAAACGGTTAACAGTATCAATATCTTTTTGGATCGTACTGTTTTTTGAAGATTTATCAAGTTTTGGTTTATTTTGTTCACTTATTTGTCCACCTTTAGTTGATGTTTGTAAACGATTTGTTTCATCTAAATTATTCTCATCTTTACGTTTCATTAAACGTCGTACATATGTAAATAAACAGTCACCATGAAAATAATGGCCACAAGCAAATATATAAAATGTTGATTGCAACATTAATGCTTGTTCACATAATGAACATGTTGCATTTGAATCAATTGTTGCAACACATCGTGTACGATATTTAGCTAAATCATCGCGTATATCATCAATAGATTTTGATGCATCATTCATTTCATTTCGTAGATCACTCAAACGATCATTATAATGTTCTAATGATTTAATAATTGGTTTTTTAAATTGATCAATTGTTTCAAAATCAGGAAATAATGGAAGAATATCTTCGATTTTAAGTAGATCATTACCACAATCTTCGAGAATTTCCATTACTTCATTAAGATCATGTCCTTGAGTTACAACAGAACTAGCTAAATTGAAATAATAAATGACATTTACAAGTAAATCAATTTAATATAAATCAGTAAACTATTCGTCGGAAAGTACACATTAGTTTGCGATCATCTGCCCTTTGGTTAAAAGAAAAAGTCAATATTCGTGAAAAAGTTGAAATTTAGATAAACACATGGGGAGATAGCCCGAGGTCTGATCTTTCATAAATGAAATGATTTCTTTTATTTGACATTTCATTTTTTTCGAAGGTTTTTGATGGTTTCCGTCATTTTCTGTTTGAAAAATGCGTTTTTTCAGAAAAAGTAGGGTACTTTTTTCGCTTTTTCTCTGCTGATGTACTTTTGATAACGCATATCAGAATTCTCAAAGGAGCTTCATTGTAGCCTATTCCTTTGTATTCGATTGAAGGAGCCTATAAAGTTGCAATACCTGACACAGCCTATTTTTTTTAGTTAAGTCTTTCTATTATACTGTAAGAAAGCACTTCTATAAAAGTAGACGACCATTTCAAGAGAATTTTTCGAAACACTGAACTTTTCATTCCTTTTCTCCGCTTAAAAATTAAGAATTTAAAAAGAAGGGCCTTGCCATGTCCTGCATCCTGACATGCTCTTTCAAACAAATCAAAAATTAAGTATATAGAATGAAGATCTAAAGAGAATTTTGAACTGCCAAATGAAGCATTTTTAACCGTTGTGTGTTAATTGAAAATTTCATGCGATTTGAATGTATCTAGCACAAGATCAATTTCTAAGGTAGAAGAGTGGCCTTAAGCAATTAATGTTGATAATATCAGGTATTTATTTATTTAGTCTATAATCTGAATATCAAATCATTGTCAGTTTTCAAAAACCTTACACAAAATATTCTAAACAAACAATTGATTATAATAATATAATGCCGATAGACATCGCGGGATAAATTCGACGAAGGATGCTATTCTGTTTTTGAGCACTATTCTATTTCAGAATTAAATTGATAGTTCTAATGTCAGTTTAAATAAGTTTCCTCCTTGTTTTGGTCAAAGAACATTATTATGAGACTCATGATGGAGCAAAATAGAATGATTTGAAAGTCGATTTCTATTAGAATTTCATGATTATATATAGACGCAATTAATGCCCATTTCAAATAAGAAAGTCGATGGCTATTTTTCAAATAAATCTGAAACGCTTCGTGCTATCGAGTTCCGATCATCAGCATTCGAAAGAGGCTTTCTTACTCAATTGATCCATAGAAACTTGTTTAAGTTCGGTTCATAAACAAGTACTCATTCATAGTCATCTTTAGAAAGAAGACTGTAACTCTATGAAGATAGGACGAATTTTAGATTTCGTGGAGTGCACTAGAACCATTGATTGACGATCTAAAAATCTACGAAAGGTCGAAATTTTTATCACGATTTGTTCAAAAGTTATTAGCATAATACTGAGAGCATCTAACAGAGTTTTTGTCATTTTCACCTAATGGAGAACATTTGTCTAATTATCATTACCGCTGTTTTGGATTATTATAAATCGATTGGGAGTGTTTATTCTGTTATACAACGAGTTCTTTTTGCCTCTTAACATTACTATTAGCCATTGTGTGCCTATACTGATTTCGTATGTAGTTGCACTATCATCTTGAAACATGTGTTACGATCTTTTCTCTTGGACTGGTCAAAAGAGTGCTCGCTCTCTTTCTCTGATTTTGTTATCATCACCACACACACTACCTACATTTCAAAGAGAGAACAGATATGTATAAGGTGTAGAATATATATGGAAGTGAAAGAGAGAGAGAGAAGTCCACCTAAACACACCAGAGCGAAGTAGATGAGATATGTGCATGGCATCGATACATGTCAACAGAATGCAAGAAAAGAAAGATGTATACATGTATGATGATGCTCACGATGATACCGTGATGATAAAAATATCAGAGAAAGAGAGCGAGCACTCTTTTGACCAGTCCAAGAGAAAAGATCGTAACACATGTTTCAAGATGATAGTGCAACTACATACGAAATCAGTATAGGCACACAATGGCTAATAGTAATGTTAAGAGGCAAAAAGAACTCGTTGTATAACAGAATAAANTATTTAGAGCTTCTTTGCTATAATAAATGCACTAATAGTCTGAAAAACAATAACGAGATTTATTTACAAAAGAAATAAGTGCAAAGGCTTCCGGAGACACTCTATTTCATAGTAGCATTATACTTGAAATCGATTTTCAGAAGAACAAACATGACAAATATTGTTCTCTATGTTAGACATTCATTAATCTTTTTTTTTTTATTTATAAGAAGAAATAATTAGAAATATTTGAGGTCTCTTGAGATGATCTACTTATTCAACTATGCTTCACAAGACTAATCGATCATAGAAAAAAAGCAAATCTTCAACTAAATGACCTCTTCTAAAACAATAGATTTTATCGGTACATTAATCATTTTTTTTTGTAATAAGCATCAAACATGAAATTGAACTTCTTTTCAAAATAAAATTTATTAAATTGAATTTAACTATTAACTGCACCTACACAGTATAAAACCTTCTTTACAACTCATAATAATCAAATTACAGCATGCAAGGACGTTTATAATACATTGTGTCATAATACAAAACTATGGCGCAATTACATACAACTTACAAAAAGAAAAAAAGAAACTTTGTTATATCGTTCAGGGTAATCTAGTATAATTACTACGTCAATAGAATATCTTAGAGAAGTCTACCCTTCTATACAGATAATTAACATATTATCGATGAATGCATTGAAAATTCAAAAGATATTTTATCTTGAAATTAATTACCTTTATATTTATAAACAATCAAAGATTCAAGATCATGTGAAAAAGCAAGCAAATATTGTCCATTTGGTGAAAATCTTCTTATATATACAGCTTGTGGTACTGTACACATTAAAATTGAATAAGACGGATGAATAGCACGATAAATATTAGTACGTCGTGCAATAAAATGATTTATTCTTGATTTTGTATAACCAAGTTCTCGATCGCGTAACCAACATACTAAATTATGTTTCGGTATTGCACGATGTAGAAGGTTTTCATGATCATCATTAATTACTGTACGACTTTGAGAAGAATTTAAAAAATTTCTACGTTTTGATGATAATGATGAAGATGATGCCATTATAATTTCGTTTTGTATTATTAATTACATGTTAGAAAAAAAAAGTGGAATTTCTGTTTTTAAACCTTGTCATACAATCATATGGCAAGAAAATGCAATATATGATGTTTATTTACAGTATTGATGAAAGATAGAGAACACTACTATCAATGAAATAATTTATATCGATTGTAGCGAATTAAATAATCAAAATTTTCAAAATTTAGTAATTTCTTTTTAAAAATTTTTTTATTTCAATAGATAAAAAATTCTAAGTAATGAATTTTTTTGAAATATAAAATAAGTTCGCTACAATCAATATCTGTGTAAGTACAAAAAGAAAATGGTTGGAAGTGATCATCAAGTTTTGTTTTGTTTTTTTTTTTACTTCTGGTTATTATTCATTTCGATATTTGAATGACAAGAAGCTTTATTTAATATGGTTAATTTTAGTGGGTTAGTTTCTTTCTTTTTATATTTTTTAGAATTAATACAAACCGTCAATTGACGTGTCTGTTTTTCTCCGCGTGTGTGTGCGTGTGATCCAAACGTCCCGTTTATTTCTTTTTTGGACTTAATTTAACAGACGTGTGTTTGTGAATACGGCGAATAGCGCAGATTTATTTATTCTTTTAATTGTTGCTTTTCTTTTGTCAAACGAATATTTCATTTATTAATTATGTCATCAACACGAACTGCTCCACGAACAACAAATATTAATAAGACAACATCAACGTTAAATACACATCATACAAATGGTTCAAGTAATTCATATGATATTAATGATTCAACAGTGAATGTTAACAATATGTCTGAGTAAATAAAGAAAATATTTTTTTTTCTTGAATTTTATTTCTTTTTTTTGAGAATATTGAGCTGATAAATCTCATTTAGTCTAAACAATAATCAGAAATATGGAAGAATATTTCAATTGATTTGTTTGTCGAGTAGGATTAAAAAAAAGAAAACTGAGGATTTTAATTTTTACTAGTTTCTTGTTAGCTTCATTTGATTCATTTTGTGAATAACAAATATTTGATTTAGAACCGATTCAAATGTACAAAGATCAGTTCTAACAAAGAATACTTCTCAAGTATGTATTCAATTTAGAAAAAAACTTTTTCCTTTGTTGTAAAAGAATAATTGGTTTTTAATTATTTAGTCGGAAGGTATTTATCGAAACCCTCGATTTGTTCATGCAATAACTATTGGATTATTGGTAAGTTGGTTGTATAAGAAGAAACACAATTTCTTGAACAGAAGATTATTCTTTCTTTCCATTGTTTCTCAAAAAGAATCGAAATAAAGTTTTTTTTTGTATTCCAATTGTTCCGTTTTAAAAACATTCAGAATATAATACTGAACAAAATGTTTTGAACGTATTTGTTTTTAATATAACTTTCGTATAAAGTTGACTTTTGATGAATGGTTCGCGCAAAAATATAGGCATTGTCTAGACTATATCCAAAGAAAATTTCACTGCTAAATGTTGAGTTATAGTGGGAATTGGACATATAACAATCTGAGTGTAATTAATTTTCGATGTACAAAATATTTTAGACTATGTTTTAAACTGACGTTTTTTTCGAAGTTGTTATAAAAAAACATTGAACCTATGCAAATGGACAGAGGAGAATACTAACTATGCGTTAGTAATAGAACTTTTTACAAGCCTATTGTCTATCATGTGATCTCACTACTTTATGAAAAACAACATACTTTATTCATGTAAACTCTTTATCATTTTGTTTCCAAATATCACATTCGAAAGAGTATCCGATCCTAAATTAAATAAAGTAGCACATGCTTCAAAATTTCATGAAAGATGTTTTCGATTTTTGAAGGACGTCTCTCTGAAAGATCTGCAGTGTCCGATACTCTTTCACATGTGATATTTGGAAAGAGAAATGATAAAGAGTTTAAATGAATATTGTGTTGCTTATCGTAAAATAAGCAGATTATACTTAGAGCATACCAAAAGTTCTGGTCACGGCGTTCAGAGAATCTTTTCGGATAAGGGAACTTGTTGAGAAATGAAAAACCATATATACCATGTTGTAGAGCTTTTTGAAGCGTGTCGAATGATATTAGTAAATCCTGTTTTCATAAGACTTTAAAAGAACTAGAGTCAATTTACTGATAGACGACTACACATTCACATCCCAGCATGATAAGTTTCTGAATATTGTGGTCCTTAATATTAGTTGAAGTATTTGTAAAATATTTTTGCTCACATAAGATTTTGTCGAGTTTTTGACGGACTATAACTTCCTATATGTAGCATCTCCGGTCATCTTGTCAGTGTGGGTGTGCAGTCGTGTATCAGTAAATTAACTCTAAGTTCTTCAAAATCCTATAAAAACAAGACTTACTAGATGCCATTCAACGCGTGTCAAAAAGCTCTGCAACATGGTATATTTGGTTTTTCATTTCTCAATAGGCCTCCTTATCCGAAAAGATCCTTAAAACGCCGTGGCCAGAACTTTTGGTATATCCTAAGTATTATAGACAATTCTTTTGTAAAAAGTCTTATTTACTAACGTGTGGCTTGTGTTCTCTTTCCATTTACTAAAGTTCATTATTTTTAGAATAATTTTGGAAAAAAATAACTCAATTTAAACAATCGTTCGAAACACTTTATCCAGTTTTGTATCTTATTCATTTTAAAATAGCATTGAGTCTTCATTGATCTAATAAAATACCATTAAAATTCTATAATTAAAGTTTTTACTTGAAGTCACTTCATAATATTGAGCTTTACCAACTTTCACTATAAATTTCAACAATTTTACTAGTAACCTATGACAACAATCTTTTTTTTGTAATAGGGTCAACCAGTCATTATTCAAACAACTGAACGAGAACGTTTTCATGGTGTACTTGAAACAATATCACCAAATGGTGATGTTGTTTTATCAGTTGCTCATCGACTAGATAATAATAATAATAATAATGATATCATGGGATTATCAACAGCACTTATTGATCTATTTGATGCAGTTGATAGTTCATTACAATCATTTGAATTAAATAAACGTATTATTCCATCAACTAATATTGTTGAAATAATTGCTGGTGATATTGATTTATCTGGCAGTGGAAAATGTAAGTGAAAAAAGAAGTCTAAAAGAAATATTTAATTTAAAACTTTATATTCAGGTATGCTTGATGAAAATCCAAAAGTAACTCAATTAGAAGATGAACGTTTTAATCGTATGGAACATTTTTATGGTACACATGAAATTGATCCAGATACATTAGAAGATCTTGATCTTGGTGACGATGGAAAAGTAAAAAATACAAATAATGACGATTTTTTATTTAAAATTATTGTTTTTGTTTTGTTTTGTTTACAGGCTGGCTATGATGCAGAAGATATGTTTCATACAAATCGAGAAAAATTTAATACAACAACTGATTTTGATGAAAGCAAATATACGTATGTATTTCTTTGTTTTCATTCAAATGAATTCTTTTTCTTTTGACTAGAAATGTTCCTATTCGTCAAATGACAGCTGATGAATTAGCAGAAATAGAAAAGAAAGTTTCAGAAATTGAAAAAGGATCTCGAAATGATGATATCGATGAAGATGATGCAGGTTATTAGATACATAATTTTCTTTCTCGTAAACATAAATTTCATATTTTCAGGTGTAAAACGTCCATCTGAATATAATCAAACACATAATATCGACGATGGAAATAGTAATACTAAAAATAATCAATCATCACGTTCACATACAAGTGATCGTCGATCAGATTTTCGTTATGATGCAGAATATAATACATCAAAGTAATTCATTCCTTGTTGTTTATTATTATTAATTTAAAAAAAAAATTCTTTCATAATTAGACGTGGTAATTGGCGTGAACAACGAACTGGTGGTGGTGGTGGTGGTAATAATCGACGTGGTGGCGGTGGTGGTTCAAATAACTATTCAATGAATAATCCAAAACCAAATCAACGTTCTGAACAAACACAATATACATCATCACGTTCATCTGAACAATCAGCAAATAATCGTCAACAACAATATAAATCACGTAATAATCGTTTTACAGATAGTCGTTCGCCACATGAAGGACGCGATTCACCGTTACAAATAACAAATGATGAAACAACACGTGGTCAAAGAATCAATAGTGGTAGTTTCTCACAAGGACAAAATTCAGGTCCAACAAGTCCATCAACAGTTCCAGCACGTACTATTTATTCAACAAATAATCGACCACCTATTGGAAGAAATTCACCAGCACCATATACAGGTAGTTCATCATCTCGAAATAATTCAACAACAACAACATCACCTTCGCCAACAACAGCAGCTGTGGCAACATCACATCAAACCAATTCTACTGGAGCAGGAAATTATTCTCACCAATCAAATAATAAAATGGCTAAAAAACAATTACGGAGTAATGAAATTAATCGTTATTTCATTGTTTATGATTTTTATTTTGTTCTGTTTAAGATGAACAACAATCAACAACTGATGAATCAGATCAACCAAAACAACAACGCAATCAACAACAAACTTCTTCAAATAATCAATCAAGTGCAGTTCCACTTAATCGTCCATCACAATTACATACTCAACAGATAAGACAACAACAACAACAACAAATTCCATCATCTAATAATAATATTCCACCTCCATTAACACTTCCAACTCAAGAAGATCATTCATCTAGTCATGAATCAGTAAATCCAAATCAATCGGATCAAACAATACATATAACAAATGCACCTGTTTATACACAGCATACAACTGGAACAATGTATGTTTATTTGTTTTGAAATCATATTCAAAAATAAACTAAAAAGTTTCTTTTCTTATAGAACACCTGGTAATGTTAAAACAAATTCAGGCTTAAATCCAGAAGCTGATGAATTTGTTCCTGTATTTTCGGTAATATTTTAAATGATTGAAAAATAAAAAAAATGATTAGTTTAATTTTTTTAGCGTGAAAGTAGTTCTCGACCTGAATCTCGTGGAGCAACAAGTTCAATGCCGAGCAATACGTTTATTTCACATGCTCATCCACAAGCACTTCATCTTTTACAACAACAACAGCAACAACAAGTGCAACAGACTCAAGTACAACAATCATCAATGATTCCACCAACACATCCTCAGAATGCAGCAGCTTTATATCAGCAATATTATCAACCGTCATATACCAATATGGCACAATTTGTTACACCTACACCACAACAAATGAATGTTAATATGATGGGCACACAGATGATGCCACCACAAACACAACAACAATTAACTGGCAATGGACCAAATACAAATACTACAGGTACAGGGGGCATGACAACACCTAGTGGTAGCTCTGGTCCAACATATAAAACAAATAATAATTCAGTACATAGTGGAGATACTGGAAGTACTGGTGTTAATAATGTCGCACCGAAAAAAGGTAAATTATTTATAGATGAAATTAATGAAATGACTTTATTATTGCATTTTCAGCTGTTGTATCAGTTCAACGTGGCGAACAATCTAATGCACCTCAACAACAACAAGTAACTGGTGCTCCACAAATGGTATATTCAACTCCATCAATTCGATATTATCAACCCGATTATATGGCACAACGTATGAATATTTCTCTTTATTGAATATACTTTAAAATTAACATTCTTTTTTCTTCTTTCCTCTTTCTAAATAAAAGAAGCAACTCCAGCATCCATGCAATTACAACAAATACCATTTTATTATCCTATTAATACATCGGGTATTATTCAAGCAGCTGCAGCAGCAGCATCTGGCGTAGGTCCACCTCAAAATATAATGATTCCATCTACTAGTTCATCAGCTGGACCGGCTACATCGGCTCCACATTCAATATATTACCCAGGAGTGTACTCAGGTATATTCAAAACCATCTTATTTTTCTATCAATTAATTTTGTTTTATCATGAATTTAAAAGATCCACGTATGTATGGAGTATATCCATCAGCAGCATCAGTTAATCCAGGTGGTGTAAATCCTAATTGGCAATTGAATCGTTCACCTCCTCATCAGCAACAACAGCAACAACCAACAGATCAACAACGGGCTTATGTTGGTGGACAAAACGTTCTGTCTCAAGTACCTCCACCAACAGGTGCACCAAATACTGGTGGTGGTGGCAGTGGCCGATCGGCATCAACATCAGGTCCATCGGGTCAGGCTGGTGCTAGTTCTGCTGGTCCTTCGATGACATCACAATATGCATTGAATGGAGGTGTACCTGCCACTTATGCATATGGGTCACCTGCAGCTTGGTATTCGACTCAAGCACAAGTGCCATCACCTCAAACAAATATGCCTCCTCAAGTAAATGCATATGGTATGATGTTTGATCCATCTCAACAAGCACCACCACAACAGCCAACATATGTACATCCAAGTCCATATGATGCTGCTTATTTTCAACAATCGCAACAACAACTTACACAACAAGGCTTAGATACAGTGCCACCGGGCAATTATAACCGCTAAACGTTTTTTTTTTCTCTCTCTTTCTCTATATATGTGTTTGTGAATGTGCGTTTTTTTCTCCTGTTCGGGTTCTACGTCTATCTCTCTTGTTGTGTGATACATATTTCTATTTAAACATATAACTTTCTTTTCTTTTTCTTCTTTATCATCGTTCTTTATGTTTGTCTGCCTATATGTCTCATCCTCTTTTTTTTGGTTCTTTTCCGTTTTTTTCTCATCATCTGTATCCTAAAGTTAAGTTGCATCTTTCTTTATTCATTATATTCACACAACAAAAAAAAAAAAATCTTTAAGCTGGCAAGACTTGACAAAAAAAGAGGCAAGTTTAATAAATTATTGTTCCCTATCTAACGGATTTTAGACAACGTATATTAATAGTTCATTTTTGTTTTCTTCTCAATGTCTTCATCATCAATTCTTCGACCTGAAATTCTTGTTATTGGTAATCGGTGTTATCGGATTAATCCATCATCTTTACCAAGTCTTGAATCAATTGATAATCAACAACATCAAGCATATCGAGAGGAAGAAGAAGCAGACTATTATGCTGATAATCTAGATGATGATGAACCAAGTTGTAAACTACAGCAAAAAAGTTCAACAATTGAAGTCGAAGACAAACCTCTAATTGGTATTATAAAATTTTTTTCTTGAGAAAATCAAATTCTGTGAACGTAAAAACTTCGTATATGCTTTTAGTAGAATACAAAAAAACTCTTTCATTCTATGATATCATTGAGAAATTCAGATGCGTAGCCTTTCATTTTAATTTCGATTATTTAATTTAACACAAAAACAAGCAACCAATGAAGGACAAATATTAGTTGTCTCAATAATTATCAGAGGTCCAAACCAGGGCTCAAAATGTGCCATGAAAACGAGGCCCGGCCTGGCCCAATGTAGCCCGAGTATTATGAAGGCCCGCCCGGCCCAACTCAATTCTTGTTCAGCCCAGCCCGGCCCGGCCCAGACCCAAACAAAATTTTGTTTAAGAAATTTTTTTTCTCAAAAAACTTAGGAAACCAATTCGGTTACTGTTAGGATACAAAATATCAACCGATCGATAATATGTTGAGTTCGATTTCCCCAGATTCTCGAAGTTGAAATAAAATTAATCTGATAAGTTGAATTTTTTATTTAGCCCAAAGATAATACACTGTAAGTTACTCAAAATCAGTAATGACTGTTATAAATTGCTCGATATCCTATGGCACAATTTCGATTGAGTTTTAATCATGAAAAATTACTCTATTTCTGAGTAAAAACTTTTTTCATTTTTGATCATTCAAGAAACTAGCTCGCAATCGAGAATAGCCGATAAAAAAGGAAGGCAAAGTTTATTGATGCCTCCAATTTAAAGGTAAGCCTTTTAACTTTGAGTGTCAAGGATTTTTATCACACTGATTAATTATTTTCTACTACATGCTAAGTCTCTTTATGATCGAAATCGGGAAAAACTTCGCTTAGAAAAGCAGCTCAAAATTCCAAATATTGCCTTTTTCCAGTGACTGATATGCTTTCCATGGAATTCTTCTTTAATAAAAGTTGAAGAATTAGATATAGTGTTTATTTGCAGCTTCTACTATCGTTGGCCACCCACTCCACCTCTTTTTCCTCCTTTTTCTTCTTTGTTTTTGAACTCCTCTTTTCCCCCTCTTTTTTTAGAAATTCTCCTCTTTTTCCTCTTTTTGATCAAAAAGCAAATTGTATAGAAAAACTTAGCATTGATAAATTTATTCAGCAATAGTAGGCTCATGTATGATAGTGAACACTGATTTTTTTTTCTTATTTTTCTTTTTCACACCAAGAAAACGCTAGACCTATGCAAATACTATATGCAACTATCATCGATAAAAAAAGAACTAAAACAGAACTAAGTTGCAACAAGATAGGCAAACGCAGTGAAAGATGATGATAAGCTATTGATTGAACTTCAATCGATTTTTACAACATCCAATGCGGGTAGTAAAGAATAAAAAGAACTACGATAGATTGTTTGACATCTATAATTCAATTATAATATAGCGAAACATAATTATATTTAAAGCCAGTAGCAAACAGAGATTAATAAGGGATCAGTTTTGCGATGTTGGAGTTTCCCTTTACTTTGAGTGTTGTTTTTATGATTTTGATGGTTGAAATAAGAGCTTCCTACTTTTTCTCTTTTTTATTCAAAATCCTCTTTTTTATTTTTACGTTGATGCACTTTACTCCTCTTTTTTTACGGATCCTCAGTGAGAGGCTAGCTATCGATAACGGTATATTTTCGACACATTATTTTTGTTAATTACTTTCTCACGCTATTTAACACAGTTTATGTATCGTAGAATATTGCGTGTAAACGAGAGAAAAGATGAGTTCAAGAAATGTCAACTCTTTATCAGATTAATGAAACATGAAACTCACATGTTTTTTCTCCCCTTAAACAGTTTTGAAGATGTCTAATTTAGAAAAATAAGCAAAGTTGATAGTAAAGACAAAAGAATAACATATAAATATCGGACCGGTCAGACCCGACAAAAAGAGTGGCCCACCCGGTCCCAGGATCTTTTCTGACCGGTCCGGTAAAAAGAATCGGTTGGGGCGGGTCGGGCCACTGGATCGGGCAGCCCATTCGAGCCCTGGTCCAAACACACCGTTGAGCCTGCATGTCTGTCTGCGTGAGGCAGACACAGGTCATTATTTTTGAGCCTGTCTCAGGTCACGCAAACTGTTTAGGATAGACAGGCTACCTGCCTCTCAAATTTTTCATAATTTTCAGTAAAAGAGCTTATTTTTGAGTAACAAAATGACGTTAAAAACCACAGTGAAGTACTTTGTACTGTACAACATGAAAAATGAGTCTTTATCGTTGTTTGTTATCAAGACACGGTGCCATTCTCATTGAAATATCATCCAAGCGATAGCATATACAAAATATACAGACCACGGCAGGCAAGCCAAGCTGACGTAAGAGTATCACAGGCGCACATAGGTCGAAGCGATCTACAACCTGTCATTGGTGGGTCAGATCTAAGAAAAATAGGCCTGTTTGAACCTCTGATACTTATGATTCCATATTATTAGTAGAAGTAGATCTAAACAAGTTTCTTAAAACTTCAAATTAATTCATGCTCTCACAGATCTTCCTTTTAGTATCATTGATTTAAGTCCAGAAGAAGACATAAATGAAAAAATCAAATAACACTAGTTTTTGATTATAAGTTGATCTTATATGCTTTAGATTATTTTAAAAGTTTTAATTAAAACGGAAGCTTCCTTCTTTCAGTATTGCATGCCGAAGAGAAGCCAATTTTTGGACATTTGCTAGTTAGATTTTTTTAAAAGATATTCTAAGAACAATTAGATTTATTTATCAATGAAATGTACATATAAAATTTCATAATTTGATTTCTTCTTAAATTACATCTATATGGATTCTAATAGTAACCTATCAGTATTAATATCAGAATCAAGGCTACTAGGGATACATTCTCGTGGACTTTGGAAACTTTATCAAGGTTTACGTATATTAGGATCACTTATGAGATAGTTAAAGTGGTGTTCTGCAAGTAATATTTGAAACTAGTAATAAATCTTCTCTTTGCAAGATGTAATTAATGCAACTTCTTCTTCATTTTCTTGTCATAGTTCATGAAGAAGAATCATTGGAAGATGATGAGGATACAATTGATTATCTGGCTAAAGAAAATATGTTTGTATGTGAAATGGACATTGCTCCTGCATTTTATGGTGTTTTGATTGGTAAAAATGCTGAAAATAAACAAAAATTAGAACAAGATACTAATACACAAATAATATTTCCACGTCGTGATGAAATCGGTACAGTAAAAATTCGTAGTCGTACTAAGGCAAATGTTCAATCTGCTCGTACACGAATTGAATTAATTATTGATCGAAATCGTCAAATGCAACCATTTACACATTTTCTTTCTATTCCAATTTGTCAATCATCATCATCAGTGTCAAAACAATTCAAACAAAAATATGAAGAATTTAAAAAAAATGTTCTTGAACAATGTTCAAATGAACGAGGAATAACTAATGAATTATTTCAACAGGTAAACAAATTACATTTAACAATAGCAACATTAGTTCTATTATCAAAATCAGAAATTAATTTTATCAAAGATACTTTACAAGAATGTACAAAAGCTCTACTTAAACAATTTATGCCTACAGATAAAGAACGTTTTATCGTACAATTAAGAGGACTTGAATTTATGAATGATGATCCAAGTTTTGTTGATGTACTCTATGCTAAAGTACAGTTAGTTGATAAGACAAATACAAATCGTTTACAAAATTTTCTTGATCGCTTAAATGAAGAATTACTTAACACAGGTCTTATGAAACAAAAATTTGAACGTATTAAATTACATGTAACATTAATGAATTCATTATTACGTAAAGATGATACAGGAATATTAGAAGCACAAAAAACAGCACGTGGAAAAGTAAAAAATCAAGAACGTGAATCATTTGATGCAAAAAATATTTTACGTCTTTTTGGTCAATATGATTTTGGACAAATTGAATTAAATGAATTACATTTAAGTATAATGCATGAACCAGATCGTCAAACAGGTTATTATGGTTGTGAAACAAAAATTTTACTAAAACCCATTAATTAACAATTGTTTTTTTTTTCCCATCTTGATCGACATTTGACAACGATCATTGGATTTTATAATACATATGATTGCACAGATTCTGGAGCTTATATAAACTGTTAAATTCTTTTTTTGTCAATGGGAAAATGTGATCGTTTATTTTCATTTACACGTCGTTTAATTGTTTTAGCAAAAAAGTTGAAAGTTTTATACTTTTAAGTTATAATTGCTCGGATATTTCTTTATATGAAATTAAAATATCAACAGATATAAAGTACCATTTCAAAATTTTCTCTGTATTATATTCGCAATCATTGACATGAGTTTTTTTTTTATTTGATGCCCATAAATGTCTGTATGTTGCAAGACATTTTTGCAGTTCTTCTGATAAACAAAATCAATACAAAAAATTTACAACGATATGGTACGATTTATTGTATTAAATGAAGCGGACAACGATAGAAACTACTATTAATACGAAAGATACTTTTAAAATTATTGTGTGATTACTAAATTCATCTGACAGTAGCTAGCATTGTCAAAAAAACTCTTGAATCTATATGGAATATTTACTATTTTTTCTTTGCCAAGTAATTCTTCGATATTTATATGAACTAGATGGCATTCGAATTTCGCTCGACTGAAAAATATGGTGGAAAGGTACAAACGTCCATTTTTCATCCAAAAGGCGTCTAAAACGAGATTTATTGACTATTTTCACCAAAAAAAGTATAGTTTTGCGCATCATTTTTTTTCTGAAAAATAGACAAAAGTTCTAATGTGGTTTCATTTGTGAGAATAAAACTGTCTTTGCACTATTCATGGATTAGAAATAAGCTGGATTTTTATCATGACAATTTGAAATGTTAAAATCTTAAACCTCCCCATTAAAACGTTAAAAAAGGATGAAATTCCGTGACGAATAGTATTTTTAAGTTTTTGTTTAATGCAGTTATGCTTCTTAAGAAATGACTCGATAAGGTGAAAGCTCTGTGGAAAACTGAAGAACTCGTATATATAACATTTATTTGCATGTCACTTCGTTTCGTAGTACAACGCTAAGTTCTCACCTCATCCTGATAAACAATTCCATTTTTTGAAATTCTGTGAGGGTCGATGTCTTTTGAATAACATGGATCTGGCTAAAGGAAAGTCAATGAAGTTTTTACTGATGATAGATCTAAATAGTTCCTATCTACAATAAAAATTTCAGAGAATTCGCGTCGATTATTGATGAGATAGAAGTGTCACTATGTAAAAACCGGAGATGGACAACTCGCGACGCGGCGAGTCAAGATTTTTGAAGGCGAGGCGAGTACGAGACGGTACGAAATGTAGCGAGTTAGTCGTCTTCTTACTATACAGCTTTTGCTGCATAGATATTATAATAGATTCGAAAAAAAAATAAAAATAAATAATGAGATCAAAGAAAATAACTATCATGTACTTAGATCTATCAGAAAGAGAAGAATAGATGATAGTTCAATAAATAATTTAATATATCATTCCTATGAAACGAATACAAACTTAATCAAAAATTTGAGAAGTTTTCAAGTTTCTAGACTCTCTAAAAAGTTGGTACTTTACGAAGCCTTCCGAAAATGTTCCCGGAGGTGTGTGGAATCAAAAAAATGTATTTTCAGAATTACGAAACCTTTAATGGTTCGGCCCATGTATCGAAGGAAAGAACCTCTAAAGGTTTGGTAAATCTGAAAATCCATTTTTTTGATTCCACACACCTCCGAGAACATTTTCGGAAGGTTCCGTAAAGCACCAATTTTTTTAGAGTATATTGAATATACCCACCATCATCATCAGCAAACGATAACAAGAACACAGAATAAAGACAACAACTACATGCATTTATATCTAACTGAATGATTTAACAAGATAACATTTTGACTACAGAAAGAGTATATATATAAAATTTATTTGGACCTATATTCACGTAATAGTTTTATATACTTTGTTTTTTGTTATTGTTTCATGATGATGATGGGCATGTTAACCAAAAACTTGAGAGAAAATTATCGAATTAGGATAGAATTGAAATGAGTTTTGTGTTATTTACATACTTAATTATTTATTTCACTATCAATCATTCTCTTATTCGTGCTGGATATATATACGTATAATGGTTATTCACGCTTTTGTAAAATTCACTTTAATTGACTCTATGAACGAAATTAACAATGTATAGCTTTTCATTCTGGTCTCATTATCTATTATTGTCTGTTACTCTTTTCAACCTATTCATATAAATAAAAAGTATAAAATGTCCAGAAACTCATTGACCAAAAAGAGAACTTTATATTTCGGTCATAGTTCTATTGGATGAACTGGTTTTTTGTGCTAATGGTAGAGGACTGTTCGAATTTTTTATTCAATAGTATAGACATCTAAAATATTCTTATCAGTAACACGTTCTGGCGCAACACGCAAAAATGTCGCTTTACGTGATGCAAGAAAATGATATGTAAGACTGCTTCTTGAATATTTTCCATTTTGATGTTTATAAAAAAAGAGAAATAGGCCTGAATGACGAAAAATGCACATTAATAAGATAAAATGCAATAAGTTCAACGTAGTCCTGCATATTTTTCTTGAGCACCTCGAAACAAAAATCTAGTAGTGCATTGAACCTGAATGCGTTACTTTGCTAGAGTATTTGAAAAACTCATTTTATTGAATAAAAACTTTGAACTGTCCTCTACCATCATTACGAAAAACACTTCATCCAATAGAACCATGATGGAAACATGAATTTTTCTTTTTTGGTGAATGACTTTCCAGATATCCTATACTTTTTTTGATCATAGAAGTGTGTCGAAGTCACAAAAATTAGGGGTATCTATGAATTACGAGATCGATAAGAAAAATTTTGCTAAAACTGATTAAACCTTGGGACGATCAAGCAATTGTTTGAAAATTCATGAGCAAAGAAACGGAAAAAACTTCTGTAGTTTCGCTGGAAAAGAATGAAAACGTCTCAAGATTGGGGTACCCTCGCCGCTCAGGATACTTCTATATACTCTTATGAAATAAGAGAAATAGTAATTGTTAAATGCGGCTGAAAAACGCATAAGAAAACGTCTATTTTTACATAAAACTCGAGGCGAGGCAAGGTGGCAGCGACTGAATCGCCGGATGGCGTGGCGGCGGCGAGGCGCTTTTTCAACCGACTCGTCGATCTCTGGTAAAAAAATGAAAATTCGTGATGCTTGGCCATGACAAGTCTACCGTCTATCCCCACACTTATCCACACCCACACCTAAAATCTAGAATGGTTATCACCAGTACACTTAGCAAAGTTGTTTGTCTTTGTACAAAACCCATTTCAGAAGAATAAAAGGTCATCAGATCGCCTTCAGGATTCAAGAAACAAAATGCTTGTTATTCATCAAGGATACAAGCTAAGAAGATCGGCCTTGAGCAGAACTCAAGAAATTCATTTTATTTACGGAATAGTTATTTTTGTTTAAGTCGAACTCCTATTTTAAGGTCATAGTTTATAGAGTTGAAATAACGAAATAGTAGAAAATGAAGGAGAGTAGATGTCAGTTTTCTTTTATTAGTATAGTATGTGTCTGAGACACATTGAAGAAGAAAAGACAACTTTTATTAGACATCACCAGTCTCACTAATATTCTATACGGAGCATGGATGATTTTGACGCGATTTCAGCAAGCAGTGAAGACGATATTGCAAAACAAAGCCAGAAAGAGTAAAAAAAATGCTGCCACATAAGCAAAGACCCGCTGCTCTATTATTGCCAAATGCACTTTGGATGTAGTTCTGCGGTAGAAAAAGACTCGTGCCCATGATAAAGAAGGCACCCCCAAGAGCGGAGAATGTATCTATTATCAAGCATGATTTATCATTGAATAAATTGATAAAATGGAATCGACGATCATTTCGATCGATTAGACTTCTACAGCCCGCTCGATAGATTTTCCAGCTTTGAGACACAACCACAACGGTTGATGCTGATATGATCAACCAGAAGCCTGTGACAACATATTTCTCCAAGCCTGGTATAAATAAAATCGAACCAGCAAGGTAAAGCATAGATCCACATGCTGATAGAAAATAATTAAGCCCTATTTCAGCTCGTTCTATGTACCCGAGTATCGTTCCTTCCTCATAGCCAAAGAGACCCTCATTATCTTTTTCGTACCCATCTCGGTGTTTGCTATAGCAAAAACATCCGACCCGATAGTACCACCACTCTTGTAGATCGGCCAGAAGGAATAAGAATGAACCTGAAGTATAGAGCCAACCACCAGCTGCCGTTGTATTAGGGCCTTCTTGTTGTAGTCGATCCAAGTACATGATGGATGCAGCAGTGAAACCTAGGCATCCTAGCAAATAGTTCATACCGTGAAAGAGTCGCCATATGAAAGAACGAGGCCTATTTAGCACGTTTTCTTCAGCCATAGCTGTTGAATTAGTTGACTCTTTTATATTTGTAGACAATGTTTCACAGTCATTGTGATACAAACGCTTTTCAATTCTTTTCACTGAGTCGTCCATGTGGCTGTCTATAGTTCTTGATGGAGCACAATTTAGTTCGTTCAATCTAAAATCAAAGTCAAGAGTTAATTCGTTAGCCGTTATCGAAGCATTATAGCTCTCAATCAACCAAAGCGATGATTATCAATAAAATTTATAGAGCATAACTGTACTTAACAAGCTCTGTTATGCAATGTATAAGACAGTCTAATTCATGATTTTTTAACTCTGTCAGAACTATAATAATGAAATTGAACATTAATGTTTTTCGAGCATTTGATCAAACGAGATGGACATCAATAAATATGATAGGCTGTATCTTCTATTAGTTTGCGTCGTCGATGGTGGCAAGAATAGGACACTTCACAAGTTGAGAAAGACGGGCGACTGTCTTGTGAGGAAGCTTCTTTATTTTAAGTAACTGCAATGCAGTTTCCTGTTCTTCTTTTGCATAGTGTTGTATCAATCACTACACTCTCAGAAAATCAGTCTCAAATAGATTATTAACC